ATCAGTGTGTTTTTCTGCACCTTTTCTCCCTTTCCTCCTCCTCCTCCTCAGTGAGGCTGCCAGACTTCAGAGAAAAATGAAAAATGAAAGTGAGAAATATGGAAGAAGAAGAAGAAGAAGGAAAGAAAGAAAGCACACACTGTCTCGGACGAAATTGCCGTTCAATTGATTTCCATCGCCGAGCTGCTCTTTCCTTCTTCTCTCCTCGCTTCAGCCCTTTCGTCTCGCGCCGCGACACTGTCTGTCTTGGTGCCACATCATATACGCCGATACACTCTCTCTCTCTTTCTTCGGTTACCGAAAACTGTCGCCACAAGTGTATTCGACAAGTGTATCTGTCTTCCATCGACATGGACGCTGACTCTGCCTACTGCGAGTAGTGAGCAACTAGTGCATTTCCCCCTAGTGTAGTTCTGATCTGCTCGACATGTCTGACCAGCTTCTCGTTGTGAGTGTGTGTGTTAAATTGCCCGTACACAAGTTTACCTGTTGTGTGTGTGTTCTGTGCGAGTGAACCTGGCACGGTAACCTACCTTAGTCAACGAGGACAACGGGCACACGGACAGACATTACAAGCATATTAGTGGCAGTGGTGGTGACATATGAGCATGATTCGCCTGCTCTATGAAAATTGACTGACTGCGGATTAGCGAGCTTGCTGATTGAAAGAGCAAGCGAGAGAAATGGAAAGTAAAAACCGAGCTTGCAGCAGCAGCAGCAGCAGCTACCAATTGGCACTGGCGCGTGCCAACTGAACAAGAGTGATAGGGGAAAAAATTGAGCAAAAATGAGAGAAAAAGAAAAAGAAACAAATCGCCAACCGAAGAAAGTGGACTCGAACAACAGTAATCGAGCAACTGTACTGAAGCAGTCAACCAACCACTGGTGGATTTGACTGATCCAACAGAAAGAGAGAGAGAGGACTGTCTACCTAAATGCTAGCAGCTAATTATCATGATCTCGGCGTGTTCAGTGACGCCATGAGTGCAACTGCTTGACTGCTGCTAATGTCTGTCTTTGACTAAACAGTTTGATTTTTACCTCATTGTTGCCGCCACTGCTGTTGCTAACTGCTGCTATCGACATGTGTCCACTATCGACAGTTGTAGCTGTAGATGCATTGACCTGTGTGCTGGTGGTGGTGGTGGTGGTGGTGATGATGATCACTAATGGGAATAAAGGTACAGCTGCAGCTTCGGTAATGAACAAGAGTTAAAAAATGTGAATGCGAGATGAGCATCAGCAGCAGAGAGAGTGAGACTTCAAGTTGATTAGAGAAGCATTGTCGAAAGTGCACGAAGAAGGTGCATGCACAAGAAGTGAAAGAAGAAGAAGAAAAAATGGCTAAAAAGCTGACTGTCAGCAGTGAAGACGACGACGATGATGATGCCCAACAAAGGTGTGCAACAGCGTAAATGCTTTTTAGCCGCCTATTAGCCACAGACACCACCACCGCCACCACCATCACTTTCGTAGAAGCAGAAGTAAAAGTGGTAATTTTTTTGACAGATTGAAATTAGCTGTGCAATGAGCGTAGCAGCCGCAGCACAGTGCCACCAGTGCACAGTGAGCATCAGCAACAGCAGCTCATCATTTAGCTGCAGAAAAGTGATAGCGACGACGACGACGACGAAGATGATGATGAACAACAACAGCAAGTGGTGGCAGTAAGGACACTCAAATACACATACACTTGCTTTGAGATGCTAGATGCACCACCTTCCAAGAATGAATTCACGCACGGATCACACGCTAAATAAACCTGTGCGTCCATTTTTAAAAAGACTGATGTTGTTGCTGTTTACTGCTACCACAAACAGTACTGTCACTCATTTCCCTTTCAGAATCACTAATTGAAAAAATTCTCACGCTTTCATCTGATGATGTTGGCTCACAATCTAAAAACTAAAAATGTGAAAACTTCAACAGCAGCTGTACCAGAGTCGTTTAATAAAAAAATAAATCTACCTGGCAGGCAACCATCAGCGGCGACCTCACTTGAGCGAGAATCAAACAAAAAGAACAAAACTTGAACGCTGTAAACTCTCACTTTATATACTGTTCAATGTTTGGTCGCTAGAGAACTGTACCATGATCACTTGATCTGTACCTTGGCTATCAGCGCCAGTCCAATGAGAAGGAAGGCCAGAATGGTCAGCGTCCCATAAGTGACGATGTAGTAGTAGTAAAGGTTTGAGTAGTGACCATTAGAGCAGGCCCTCCACAGGGCAATAGATCTTTTGCTGCCGCCGTCAGCAGTGGTGATCATATTGGTACCGTTGATGCTGTCACCAATAAAAAGGTGCGAACTAGGTGTTGTCGTCGTGGATGTGGTCACCTTGGGATCGCGAAAGATGGAGATGCTCGGACCGAAGCTCTCCAGCAGGCCAATGACGATGCCGCTGAGGATCTTCTCAAAGAAGCTCACCGCTCCATAGACAAAAGAGGTGCTTTTCTGGGTTTTGACAACAAACAAATGACAGAACAGGACTCTGAACACGCATTTTTCACTTACCTTGTTCCGACCAATCATATCAGAGACCAGACTGAGCGTAGAGATCTTGACCATGGAGAANAGATGGAGATGCTCGGACCGAAGCTCTCCAGCAGGCCAATGACGATGCCGCTGAGGATCTTCTCAAAGAAGCTCACCGCTCCATAGACAAAAGAGGTGCTTTTCTGGGTTTTGACGACAAACAAATGATAGAACATGACTCTGAACGCACATCACTTTCACTTACCTTGTTCCGGCCAATCATATCAGAGACCAGACTGAGCGTAGAGATCTTGACCATGGAGAAGGAGATGCCCAGGAAGACGACCACAGGGTATATTTGCCAGTGTTTAAAGGACTCATTGTCGCAGTTGCCGGCAATCAGCCAGAGACTGCCAACGATGCCAAAGAGAATGCCAAAGAAGAGGTCGTACTGTGTGCATTTGTGGATGAGTGAGCATTCGTAAAAGCAAATAAAAGACAACCATGTTTTTCACTTTACCTTATTGCTCAGTTCATTTTCAATGTAGTTTGAGGCAAAGGTAGAGAGGAAGCCTGATACGAAGATAACCAGTGGCAAAAAAGCGATAGCCGTCTGAAAGGCGGTTTTGACCAAAAAAAATTAGTTAGACTCTGTTCAAAGGTGAAACAACGTCCTTACCTTGTTCAGAAACAACGTCTCAGGAATGTAGAGAATGAGATAGGTGACCGGCAGATTGATGTACAGCCGGGCAAACATGTAGACGAAGCACTACAGAAAAGTGAAGTTCAAGTTGAGGCAATTTCGTAAACAAGCAAACAAACAAACAACTTTTGTATACTGACAATCTTGTAGAAGGTCTTGTCGGTGAACCAGTCCCAGGTGCCAAACTGGTCCATCGATCGACCACCACCGGGTTTTACCACTTCGTGCATCACCACCCCATCATTATCGGTTTTTTGCTGATGACCACTTTTGCCACCAGCTTCCCTGGCCAAAAGTGCCTCCTCTTTTTCCTCTTTTTCCTCAGCCGCCAGCCTGATCTCCTTCAAGCGCACCAGCTCCACTTCATTGACAGTAAAGAGGAAGACGACGGAGTGGCCGACGCCCACTACGGTCATGTAGAAGCTGTTGTCCTGTAGAAAGAGTAAAAAAGGGAAAGTCAAATACTCCTCAAATCTAGGCACCTGATGATGATGATGACGCAATGACGCAATGTTTACCGCAATGACGAAGATGTCACTCTTGGAGAGCTTGCTGCCGTCATTGAGCTGCAACGTCGCCCAGAAGCAGGCGAAGACGACGACGGCGGCGTAGATGCTGGCCGTCTGGCGGGTGGAGGTCAGCCAGATGCGGTCGGCGCCGGTCACCGACAGCTCGTTGATCATCGAGAGGTGGGCGATCTGACAGAAGGACCAGGCCAGCTGCGAGAGGCAGATGCAGAGGAGGAAGATGGTGACGGCGGTGGCCGGCGTCTCCACCAGCATCGGCAGCTCAGAGAAGCAGACGGGAAAGGAGACGATGAGCACCGTCACGCCGATCAGGTACCAGGTCTTGTACTTGCCCAGGCGGAAGAAGCGACCCGAGGTGAAGGGCGCGTCGAAGAAGAAACCGATGGCGATGGTGATCACTGAGTCGAAGACCTGCCCCGTTACGACGAAGTAGAAGGCATTGACGGGGTAGAACATCTTGTAGAAGAGCAGGGCGTAGGTGAACCAGATCTAAAGGGGTGGCAGAAAAGTGTGTCCGTTTTAAGACAATGATGAGTCCGATTTTAAGGATGACTCGGGTACTTACCGGGCTAACCATGTCATTGAAAATGTGGCCTGGCATTAAGATACAAATGTGTGTAACGGTGTTATGATCACTGAAAAGCTGAAAGGCCCACTTACCGAAAGCAAAGCCGTACTTTGTTCGGAAGTTGAAGGTAATTTTTGGGTTCTCCATTACTGTGTCCCGAAGTAAGTTGTGAAGATGAGCTTGAAGATGATGTGAAACCTCGAGATATGCTGCGAACAGAGAGCTGTACTTTGAAATCAAAGAACGAGTAAATCGGCCCAAATACATCCTGTTATATACCTGCAAAAAGACTGAGTAAAAAAGTTCTAAATCTGCAAGTCCACGTCTAACTTGGACTTGGAACATCGTCACTACGGTTCGTCTTCGGATGCTTCTGAGCCAAAGTGCAATGGACTCCGCGTCAATGGAAAGCACTGCCCAAAGACTGCCATGTATCTACTGTCTAAAGAGAGCATTCTGTAGATTTTAGTGTTTAAAAATGGTCACCAAATCATTTCATTAGNGGATGCTTCTGAGCCAAAGTGCAATGGACTCCGCGTCAATGGAAAGCACTGCCCAAAGACTGCCATGTATCTACTGTCTAAAGAGAGCATTCTGTAGATTTTAGTGTTTAAAAATGGTCACCAAATCATTTCATTAGATTTAGCAATAAACAAAACGGCTGTCAAAATCGGTGGCAGTGACCACTGGTCACCTCAGCGCGAGCAGCAGCAGCAGCAGCAGCCAGCACGTGCTCAACCGACAGCACTGCTGAAAAAAGTAGGCGTGGCGTCACCTGCCTTTGAGCAGCGCTTTCACCTGACACAAAGTCTCCGCCCAGTTTTGGCAACATTTGTACAATCAGCAGCCTCCCCCGTGGCTACAGAAGCACTGTAGCGCTGAATCAGCAGAATTTCGCTACACTTTGCCACACTGCATCCATCCATCCTCCTCTCGTCATTTCTACTTTGGCGCCGAGCTGTCTGGTTGGCCGTCCATCACCCGCTAATTTCCCGTTTTCCATTTGCCACTTTTTTCCATCATGGCGGATGATCTCTTTGCCATCACCAAAAAGCAACAGCAGGAACAGCAGCAGCAGCAGCAGCGTTCCCAGGCTGGCACCTTTCCGATTCGCCTTCGTCTGCCGGCGCAGATCAGCGCTCTGGCCTTGAAGCTGGCCCAGGTCCGCTGGAAGCGAACCTCGCCCTACCACCACCACCACCACCACCATCGCTTCTCTTTGGGCTCCTCCGGCGATGAGCCGGCTCACTTTGGCGGAAACGCTGCAAACAGCAGCAGCAACTCCAACTTCTCCATCATGACGTACCTGAACACGAACCCGGTAGTGCCAGGCAAGGCGGCCAGGCTGCTCTTACAGTCGGAGAAATCGAATGCCATTGCCGAGTCGTCCACTGACGCCTGCTGGGCCCGGCTGCTGCAGTCAGTGGGCGGGGCGACCGCCTCCGGCCAGCTGCACGTCCTCTGGGGCCTGAGCAAGGCGGACAAGCTCAATCTGGCGCTGCAGCTGAACAATGAGGCGTTCAGCGAGCGCCGGCCCTGTCGCATCATCTACCTCCAGTCGCTGAGCCTGCTCACCTTCTGGATGGCCTTCACGGTGAAGGGCCTCTGCGAGGACTACCACTGGGACTGCAGCGGCTACCAGAT